AATAAAATACGTGAAATCATGCTATGGGGATGATATTTAATCAATAATAAGGCTATTAACTAAAGTAACGAATAACACGCATATTTAAGTCGAATTTTTGCGAACCAGTTCGTGATTCTTAAGCATGAGATTCCGCGAACGGACCAGTGAATCGCCCAGCGAAAGGACCAAGAACTAAGTCGAAACATGTCGGATAAAAATTCGACTTATCTGTTACTTTAGTTACTATGTCTGAGTCTTATGGTGGTTTTTTATTTAAAATAATAAGACTATAGCCCAGTGAAGAAATGATAATAAAAATATAAAATAAATATAAAAGTACTCGTATAACTATAGAAAAACGTTAATGAAAATGTATTTAGTAACATATGCAATGAATGAAAACTAGTGAGTTCTATACTCGGGATTCGAACTCGTCCCGGGTCTGTGTGGCAGAGTAGCATGGTAACCGTTCGGCCACGGAATTGAATTTATTAGTAAATGAATTGTTAATTGTATAGAGTGGAACACCTCTATTTGCCAGGACACGGGAACGTTAGATATTTAAGTAAAGTTACGTAAACCTGCAAGTAGGTGTGCAAATATTGGATACGGCATTTAAAATTAATGTGAATTACTATTTTTAAGTGCTACTAAAGCCACTTTTGAACATTCATTGGATTATTTAAACAATATAATAATAGTATAATGTCCTAGGGGATTCTCATGTGGGGTAAAGCGGCATATATTCAAATAATATTTGTATTGCAAAAACGAGCGATGCGTTCTGTGTACCGTCTAGGCTCTCGGGTTTCTCTCAGAGAAAAGTTTAAGGAGACTGGTATCATGACTGTGGAATCACAGTACATTTACTCAAATATTTTATAGATAGATAGATAAAATGTTTATTTGTTACTACATTCACACGTACATAACAGCAAAAAAATAAAAAATAAAAACACAAAAACACAAAAACACAAATAAAACAAAAAATAAACAAAAACAGCAGAGTCGCAGTACTGCTAGACACCTAGTTATGTACGTGTGCTGCAGCAGTGCAAAAAGGTCATAGCTCAGCGTCGGTGTTTACTCAAGAGCAAACCGCTGATTTTCTGCTATAACCTAGAGGTAATCGCGGATACGATAATCACTCGCTGACGTCATTTTTCCATTTAGTTATATTTAAACATATAATAATAATTAGAATAGAAACCAAATAAATAGGAAGATAATATAAATATAATGTTTAAAAAATTAATTAAAAATATTAGTGATTTAATTCAAATTATATATTGTAAGAGTACAATATATAAAAGAAAAATTAAGAAAAACAAGTGAAATACAGACATAAAAGAAAATTAAACTGTTAGTGGGTTAATCATGGTTTTAATACACAATATATGTAATAGGACTGGACTGGACTTCAATAGGCTGATGATGATGATATGCAGCAAATTTTCGCCACCTAAGCAAAGCTCTGTGAAATACCCTTTTTTTGACTGTCAAGAAGAAGTTCCTTTACCTTTTCCTTGAAGGTGCGTTTAGATTTTAAAAGTCTTAAAGGTGGTGGAATATTATTCCAACACTTTGTTGCGTGGTAGCGAAAACTGCCGGTGAACGCTGCTGTACGATGTCGCTGCATGCTTAGCGGGGGACGTAACGATCTAGGAATATGGTCGTACCGTTTATAAAAGTGGGGAAATTGTAATTTTGAAAAAAGATAATCTGGATTTTTGAATTTTGCAATATCAAACATTAAAGAGGCAAGATGTAACTGTCTGCGAGATTCCATGTTGAGTATACATGCATTATTAAGAAACGGCGTTATATGACTCCTAGGCGAAACATCAAAAATAAACCTACAACATGCATTCTGTATGCGTTGTATTAAGCGACTTGTTTTATATAACAGTCGAGGGCCATAAACAAGGTCCGCATAGTTGAGACGAGACAGCACCAAGGATTCGCACAAAGTGATCCTAACTCCCTCGGACAATAAATTCCTAATTTTGTACAAGACTTTCAGTCTATAAAAGCAACTTCTTACAACATTTTCTAAATGTTTTTCGTAACGGAGTTCGCTGTCCAACAGAACACCAAGATTTCTAGCTTCATGAACCCGAGAAATACTTTGACCTAAAATACTAACTACTGGTGACTTGTTTAAAATTTTCCTAATCTGAACCTTTGATCCAAGCACCATAAACTTTGATTTATTAGGATTTAGTACTAGCGCATTTCGGACCGACCATTCAGCTATCGCATTTAGGTCTTCATTGAGCAGCCTTAATGAATCCGATATCCTCTCAGGCACTTCAGAAATATACAGCTGAACATCATCGGCGTACAAGTGGAATTTACTATGTTTTATTACTTGGACCAAATCAGCACTGTATATTATAAATAGTAGAGGACCTAATATCGAACCCTGTGGAACACCACGATGAACCGGCTGCAAATTGGAAACCATATCAATGCAGTTGCGTTTCTTGAGTCTTACAGACTGGCATCGGTCACTTAGGTAATCACTAAACCACTGAACCGCCCGTGGGTCTAGTCCATAGTAGACTAATTTTGATAGCAGAAGAGAAACGTCAATGCTATCAAAAGCTCGAGAAAAGTCCAAGAGTGAGAGAATCGTACCACGGCCAGCGTCCTGTGCCGCTAGTATATTATCAGTTACGTCCAGCAAAGCAGTAACCGTGTCACGACCCCTTCGGAAACCCGACTGAAGAGAAGGGAGCATATTATTCTTGTTTGCATGACATAGAAGCTGATGATATACTGCCTTTTCTAGAATTTTGGAAAGAAAAGGCAGTACACTAATAGGCCTAAGATCTTTTAGTTCACTGGGATTGTCAACCTTAGGTAGTGGAGTGACCAATGCTTCCTTCCACATTATATGCCCGTAAAAATATACATAATTTCAATAAGAAAGAAGATATCCATAATATTAACCTTAGACCTAAGTCCAAACTCATGGTACCACGATTTCGTTTAACCAAGATAAACAACTCTTTTATTGGGAACTGTATACGTTTTTACAATATGATTCCGGAGCATATATTAAGTTTATCATTTCCTAGGTTTAAAAACTACATTAAAAATATTTTGATCGAAAAATCATATTACAAAATTGAAGACTAGGTGTTAGATAAAGATGTATGGAAAGACGACATGGCTCCAGAATCCACACAAATTTGATTCAAAGTGTATTCCATAGCATTTAAGTTTATTTGAAAAGAGCAATCCTAGAGTTTCTTGCTCGTTCTTTTCAGGGAGGTCAGCGTAGTGAACGAGCAGTAGCTTAAATGTGACGTTTTGAAATGTAAATTTATTTTACCTATGGAATAAATAATCTTTGACTTTGACTTCACCTCCTTCACTACCAACAGTCTCTTCATTTGTATGATGAACGGGCATGTGCCCGTTCATTCCTGCCACCTTTAGCCTGGACTTTTTAAGAACATCCCCAATCTGATTGGGATATGAACCCCGAGGCCTATCTCTCCCCACGCCTCCATCCCAAATCGCTCTATAAATGTATACCATCAATGTACAACATTCACTAAATAAGTATCATTAATTACAGATTTCTTACCACCACGGTATGAGTACTTTTTATTTTACCGATATTTCAGAACGGTTACACGCTGCGTAGTCAGGGGTTGATTCAACGGGTTCAGTCAACTCAACTGATCTGAAATATTGGGGAAATAAAAATAACACATATAGTAACTACTGATATCAACTATGTACGTTCTTGAAACTCTAATTGTATGCAAATATGACGTCGAAAACCAATTGTCTAAAGCCCATGTAAAATTATCAGGTTAACAACAACACCATTAAGGACGTAGGTGTAATGTAGTACACGTACATAAACAATTGATAAAGTGTTTTAACTTTCCTAACAAAACTGACTGTCTGACTGTACTTGTACCGAATTAAAATAGTAATATAAAATGCCGCGAAGCGAAACTTGATTAATAAAAATATTAAGAAGTGTAGCAAACCGAAACGTATTATTCTGTGGTCAAATCAAAACTATGACGACAAACTAAGGCTGTTGACAGACATGCTGTCATGTCTGCCGTTAATGCGAACAATCGTGATCAAGTAGCAGTAGAGCTCCTTGTGAAAGAGTTCGTCCAGGGTAGTACTGCCACCTTACTTATTTCTGCCGCCAAACAGTAATGTCAGCATTACTGTGTTCTGGTTTTGAAGTCATAACTTCAAAAATGTCGCTACATTTAATGCTGTTGCGCTATATGTGAACAACTCCATTTTAAATGTACAGACAACTGCTCATCAGACTACACATTTTTGTTCGAAAGTCACCTCCAGTGCAACGGAACAAGACATGTCAATGTGTAGCTTGATGTGCTGTTGACGTACAAGCCGCGACACTTTAAACTACACGATTATCTGTCATCACGTCAAAGTGGGAACGCACCTTAACTCCCAGTGCTAACGTTAGGCGATCGAGGTCACGAATGAAGAATTTAATTGTTTATGAAATGTTAAAGCTTATCAAAATATTACTATTTGGCGTTAACGTTTATTTAATTGATTTCTTTTATGATTGATAAACCATAATGTATGATATCATTGTCATAGGTGGTTGCTTAGTGCTCTTGAACGAAAAAATCGAATTATCAATGCAGTTAAATAGGGACTTGGAAGTCTGTTGTGTGATTTTGTGTCATTGATTCTTATCCTACTGTATCGTACAGCTGACAGTATTAAAAATACAAACAGTTTAAAGGGCGATCTAATATCGGAACTTGCAGTTGAACTTATTTTATATTTAGATACGGTTGAAAGTGGAAGTGAAAATACAATAAAGCAAAATACAAAAATTATATGAAGTGAAAATAAAAACTAACTAATACCTGAACTTAAGGTGCTTGACTTTGAAGATGTCTAAAAATACATACATAAATGTGTTAACACTTATATAATATATAATAAACAAAATGTCTTAGGTGTTTTGAATGCAAAAAATTGTATAAATATTGCTGCCGCAAAAGATCTGTTGTTCGATTTATTGGAAAAAGCAAAAAAAGAGAGGCAATGAAAATCGTGTTCTTCTTCATAGCATTAGCTTCAGCTAACGCTGACTACTACGACACTCTTTCTGGTGAAAGAATATCCGAATCCACATATAAAGCACGCCGAAATATTTCTGAGTACGTAAATATTTAAATTATGTTAAAACATTTTTTGAGTTTTTTTAAATTTGTCTAAAGTCACTTTTGCTGTTACTAAAGTTAATTTTTTGTCACATTTTTAAATGTAATGTATTTCTTGATTTAGACAAGGTAATAAAATAGGTATCAACGTAAAAAATATAAGGCTGTACTTAACTTGCTCAGTTAAAATTTTAAAATTTTTTAGAGTCTGGGCTTATTTCTATAGTTGTTTCGTCAGTTTGATATTTTTCGTAGTTCATCTCGTCTGTTTCTACTTTGACATCATTATCATTATCAACCTATTTTATGTTCCATTTCTGGGCACATCTGTTCTTTAAGAAAAGGTTTTGGACTATAGTCTGTCCTACACTTGCACAATCTTGGTTAGGAACTTTTCATCACTATATTTTTTTAATGGTTCACTTACGTATTTATTTTAAATATTTGCAAATGCACATAAATTTGAATTTAAATTCAATGCGTGCAAGTTCAAGTGACATTAATCACTACAGCTATTTAAGCAGTTGACAACTTAATGTAATCATCAAATCTGACAGGTTTTTGAGTGCACTGCAGTTTCTAAACGAACTTCCATTTGTAAAGTCAGCTTTCGTCGTGTTAATGTCAATTACTTGGTTTTTAGTATCACGTTGATTGGAAAATTATTGGGCTTTCATATTTTGGCCATTAAGATTTCTTATTTTTCATATTCTAAATATTTCAACATCATCAAAATAGCAAATAGGGGATTCAAGTGACGGAACGAATAAGTCAAGCTCACGCCTGTCTATAACAATTGAAGTGCCACCCGGAGCTTTAAATTGCAAAGATCAGAGGGGTACTGCCACTGCGCCTGACAACCCGAGACATAAGTTGACAAGTCCCACGTGCCTGTAATTTCACCAGCACCTTTACCCTTCAAAACTGGACCACAGTAATGCCTACACTACTGCTTGTACTTCCCTGCATGAACTCTTTCAAAATGGAGCTCTACTGCTACATCCATTATTTTAGCTTACTGCAGACTGACACATCAATTAGTTTGTCTAAAACTGGCGATGTTTAATTATTGCTCACAGGAAAAGTGTTCATATGTAATCAATATGTATGTTTTTAGTATGTGTGTAACAACAGCAGCACCCTGCAAGGAAGACGAATTCAGGCGCATAGATGGCACTTGCAATAACTTCTTATATCCCAGCTACGGAGCTATTTATACACCTTGGAGAAGACTACTGTCTCCTTACCCTCACAAAGGTTTGTTTCCTAAATGTCTTTCAATGGCATGTAAAAGTAAGACTTTTTAAATTTCTTAGCCTTGCTTTTTTTGATCACAGGAGATCAATATCAAAATTGTTAATAGTTGCACTGTTTAGTCTATGCTTTTAATTTTTATTTTCGCAGCTACTGAACCAAGAGAAACAAGTGACGGCAGACCATTGCCCCTCAGTCGTGTTGCAGCTACCACACTATTATCAAAAGGCCGCGTACCCAGCACAGAAATTACGAATCTTGTTCCAAATTATTGGCTGTTGACTCTCGTTGATATGGTTTTTCCTCTAGACACCGGTAATTATACATATGTGACACTCAACCGCAACATTCTCCATATAAAAGACTCAAGTTTACAAAAGTTGTTTTTCTTAATAATAACGAGACAAAATGACGTCATGGACGTTTTGTGTCATTATATAACAATACTTGCACAGCTTCAAAGTCGTGTTTTATTTGAGGTGGTCGGATCAAATTTTATCATATCCAAAACATTTTAAATTCCATAATGTTACTTTTAGGCAACTATGTGCGATATAAACCATACTGCTGCAAATCAGAAGGCAAATATGATGACCTATGTGCTCCGAACATCATTCCTCCCGATGATCCAGTACATCGCTTCTCAAACATTCGATGTCAGAATATGATCAAACCTGAATCTTTCCAAACTCACGGGTGTATTGCAAAGAATACCTCAATTATTAGAGTGAGCTGTTTTTTAATTTATTTCCAAGTCTTAGTTGAAACTTGAACATTTAAACTAAAACCTTTTACGAAGTAAAACTAATTACTTACGCATTATTATGAGGCAAATAATCAAACCAATTTCTTCAAACTGTTTGTACTATTATAGTTATTGTGTTATTGATTGATTTATTTTATTTTTTATTAACTCCATTGTCACTAAATTACCAAGAGCGAGAAAAAAATTTATAAAACATCTTTATCTCAATAAAATTGACTTATCTGAAAAGTCGTAAAACAGGTATAAAAAAATGTGTGTTTTTTGTGTTCAGGGCACGCAAGGGACACCGGCATTAGACTTATCTTTTGTGTACGGAAGCACAACCAAAGATTTGAACGAAAAAGGCAGGGCGTTTACTGGCGGTCTTTTGAAGTCCCAATTAATCAATGGATATGAATGGCCACTATCTATGGAGGACGACAATCCGTGGAAATTTATATGCATGAACAACGTTGGAAATGAAATTCGAACATGCTTGAATACACGTAAGCAAACTGAAATAATTTTGTTGGCTGGTAAACCTTTTTCCCTAACATTATCATCATCAACTATCATTGTGCAACCTACTGCTAGCCACGATTTTTCTGTATGGAGATTGTGAAATGATTTCGACGTGCAGGTTTACCACGATGTTGTCCTTCGCCGAGAGGTATTGCTACTAAATATACATACATGAATGGCGTGCAAATGAGGAGGCCTACACTCATCAGTGGGTGACTAAAGGCTGAAGAAGATCTTCTTCTACATAAACGTACTTTACTTAGAAATCAAAGTCCAACCGCTACAATGATTCGGACCATCGACGTTTTGGCTGAAATTTTCAGTGAGCGATTTGCACGGCCTGGATACACCTTGGTCACGCGCAGCAATCATTACCCAACCCAGGAGACGGACAGGGGAGGATAGTCCCTACGGGGGGCAGAAGACGAGTAATTCGCACGACCTGGGCACACCTTGGTCACGCGCTGCAATTACTCTTCAACAGCTCCTCACCGGGTGGAATTTCTTACCGTAGCAAGCTCTCGGCTGGCGGCAAAAAAAATTCGCTCGGCTAGCAAAAAATTTAAATATACTTAGTGTGTGCGTTTATAGTGTCTAAGTAACAAATAAAATTATGCAATATACAACTCGATCGCTCACAGTCAAGTTTCCGTTATTTTATTAAGATAGGAGACTGAAATATAAACCTCTTTTAGTAAAATTGTGACAAACAAAGTTTACTTTGAAGAAGAAACGATATTAAAATATTTTTAATCGTTTTTTATGTTATCAAATGACGATGATGAGTCGAGAACTGTTATGGGTACAGTTGTAATGTCACTCAAACTTTTAACACTCAAAGATTTGAATGGTACTGCCACTACTTCCGTCATCCCGAGTTTCAGCACGCTTACAATATTTTTGATCATGTTTAACATTTCAGCTGAACTTGGAGTAAACGCCCTCTTGGGCTCGTTAACTATGTCTGTCTTATACTGGAGGCAACACAATAGACTGGCCCGGGAATTGGCTTCTTACAACCCTTGTTGGGATGATGAGATGCTATTTCACAAGGCAAGGGATATCAACATCGCGTTGCATTTACAAATATTTTATTACGAATTGATGCCATCTATTATAGGTACTGTATACAATGTCTGAATTATTATTTTGTTCTTCAATTCTTCTCTACTAAGTTCAGTTTTTTTTAAATCTCCGAATGATTAGACTGATACTGATATTTGATGGACGTGTCGCTTTGATTTCTATATATTATTATTTTTATATTTATGCTTTAAAAATATGATGCCGACAAGTTTCTTCAGGCTATATAATATATTGTTCATTTATGGTAAATATGCTGCAAATTTTGCCATCATTTCAGGTCGAGAAAACCTGATTAGAGACGGGGTCATTCAAGAATATTCCGGATTTAGGGATGTCTACGACGAAACTCTTTATCCTCAAACGTCTCTTGAGTCTATATACGCGTTAAGATGGGTGCACCTTATACAAGAAGGTAGCTTAAAGTGAGTCATATGTTAATAATATAAGGTTAATTTTAATGAGATTATTTAAAATAAGAAATCGACATGTGCCTGGCCAATCCAATCTCATCACCGACGACAGAGCGTTTTTTCGAAAAATAACCTGAGAACACTATACGACATTAATAGCACCACGTTGTATGTTTTGGGTAGCACAGGTGCACTATACGCCAAAAGTTTTATCTCAATGGATAGTCAAGGCGACTCTTCAAAGTTATGCGGTTTTTAAGAGGTTGATGAACTTTCAAAGAAACCAATTTTGCTATGACGGTTTACTTCACCAATGTAACTAATCAGACGTATATTGTTCAAGCTTATACAGCAATCAGGAAGTTTATACGAATTAGCAGTAGCAAATATACTCCCGGACACATAATCGAACCACCTTTCATTTTCAATATTAAATGCTTAGCTTAAAACAATCCTTAATTGCTCAAAAATGCTATTATGCTTCTTTAAAACTGTATACTAAACGTCATTTCTTTAAGTTATTGAAAATTTGAATTTTAAATATCGGAGAAAACTTTTTCTTCGATGCTAATTATATTTCATATACAATTTTATTAGGATACAAACGCAAGGTGGCTCGAATTGTGTCCGGGAGTTTATAATCAAAATAATATTCACAATCACTTTAACAATTTTAGATTATACGATCGAAATGGATATTATTCGAAACGTTTTCCAATTGTTAACGCTACTTTGAGACCCGGTTGGTTTGCCACTGGTGACAATTTTGCCCAAGTCCTCCAGGGTTCGTTCAGACAACCAAGTGCTGCTATTGATTATGTTGTCGATCCTGATGTAAGTACAGCAGAATCTAGAGATTTTAAATGGAAATGTACATGTATAGAGCTTCTGAATACATTGGTCGCACGTCGACTGTAGGTCATAGATGTTGAAATATGGAAAGTTTTATTTATGTAAGATCTATTCACAACTGTTAAATACACTTAAGGTAAGGCTATCTATGATGATTTTAGTTGTAACACATTAGTTATGTATTTGCTAAGCTATATTCGAATAATATCTGACAGGTAACTCAAACCGAGGCTGAAAAATAACAACCTACAAACAAGAAACAAGTACCTAGTCAGCTATTTATATACTTTGTACTCACTTATGTTGTTTACTAAGTGATCACTCAATAACTGTGTAACTGATTCGTTATAAGTACGATCACAAGGTGATATAGTCGAACTTATTTGTAGCATCTTACCCAAAAACAATGTCACTAATTAAAATCATGATAAAGAAAAAATTTTTTTTTCAGATTTCGGACGTTGGTCTCGGACCTTTGCAAAAAATGCATGATATAATTTTAAATGATCACGCAAAGGGTGCACATTTCGAGTTCCAGCCCTACATTAAATATAGAGAATATTGTTCCGGAAAACAAATCACCTGTTTTGATGATCTACGTGATGTAATAGACGAAGAGGTACTGTATGCTGGATTTTAGTTGGTCTAGCACAGATTTTTTATATTATTATCAACTCGTCGATCTATGAGCCATTGAAGACTATGTCTACTCTTAGGGATGTAAGATCCATGTCTCCATATGTCTCCTTTAGTCGACCACGCTGACCCAAAGCGTGTTAGGGACTTTATACGTTTTCCAAAAGTAAACTTTCTTCGACAAGCAAATTTACGTACTGCTACGAAACATCCGCAAATATACGTAAATTAGAGGTAAGTCATAATTACATACCATCACAAGGATTCTATCTATCGACCTTATTTATAAATTATGCAATGAAAATGTATTGTCTAATAATGATTTTAATTTCCAGAGAATCGAGCTTCTCAAGGATTTATACGAAAATGTAGGTGATATAGAACTCATGTCCGGGTTATGGGTGGAAAGACCAAAGGAAGGGTCGAAAGTTCCTGATACCTTGTACTGCATGATAGTCGAACAATTGTTACATAATTTGCGATCTGATAGACATTGGTATGAGAGAGACTCAAGGCCAAATGCTTTCACGTACGGTAAGTAGCACGTAACTTTATTTTGAAGCCTTATTTGAATAATTTGCAAATGCAAACGAGCACAAATGAATGCTTCAATGGGTATTATCTTTGTCAATTTGTCAAAATCATATACTATCAAGAATTTATTCATCGCATAAACAGTTATTTAACCTAAAAAGCTTTTAACTCGCTTTGCTGGATCTTGGCAGCTACTTCTGCTAAAGAATTATCTTCACATACAGTTATCCCAGGCACTCGATGAAATTTTCTATCTGTAACTTCTTTTTTCTTTTATTCTACATCAAGCACACTTGTTTTATTCAAAGCTATTTGCTATTGGGCAACTTGACAAGAACAAGAACCGACATTCTAGGTGTTGCTCTTTATAAAAGTTTTGGTTAACTAATACATGACATAGATTCCTGTAAAGTAGATTCTGGGACTGTTCATCGAGGTTAGTATCAACGCACACGATCACTCCAATAAAACAATGATGTGCTCGTCAAGAATTACACAGACATTTACGCTCTCGCTTTTGAGACAGCCAGTTAATCTTTGACTAAAGAGACGTGCTATAGTATCAAATTGTTTGCTGCATTAATTCAAATAATCATGCACACCATAAAAACAAAAGTAAAATCATCTTATCAAAAATGGAGTTTCAATCTATAATCCTAGGGCGTCGTATTGGACATGATCATGTTTATTTATGGAATAGATGATTTTTTTGATTTTCTCAATAACTGATTTAAATTATATAGCATAAGCTCAGTTTTTTTAAGTAAGAAGTATTGAAGCCAGGACGACTCGTTAGAACACCTTAATTTTATTATTATTTATTACTGACTTACCTATTTCAGATCAACTACAAGAGATAAGGAAAGCGTCTATTGGTAGACTTTTATGCAAAACTGGTGATTTTGTTACTCAAATTCAACCCAATCCTTTTCTGAAAGCAGGGCCAGGGTATGATTTTATATATATTTTAGTGATGGTACTTACATTTTTATTCAAAACATCCGATGACGTTGGATAAGACTGTAATTCCGTTGTAAAGCGGAAACGGTTCTACAAACACCACTGCAACCCCCAATTTTTACTTAACTTCCCTACGCGCATGCTTTTTACAAGCGAGAGTTTCCATTCATGGAATGGCATGCGGATTTTAGATCTGATGATAATGACGATAAATCTCCCCCAAGAAATTGTCGTTGCTTTTGAGGAAATGCAGTATTCTTGGAAATCGATTTTCATGATAATCAATTATTCATTCTACGACTTTTAAGGACGGGACTCTTCAGAGCAGACGATTCAAGACACTGTCCGCCATATTGTTGGCTCCATGTTTGTTGGGGACTTTACGCATTTCGATCACGATGTTTTTCTTCGGTCTTCATCTTCTTCTTATAATTTCGATGGCGTACACTATAATACTTGCCATAGAGGTGAAAAGACTTGCCAATCGGCGTAAGCTACTCGCCGATTATGGCCCAGGGTGCGCCACATGTACAGGAAATACAGGAACGGTACATCGTGCGGTGAGACTCCATTCGTGCACCATTCCACGTCCATTAAGAACTATGTTGAGAAGTTGGGTATATAAGGGAATTGCAGTTTCTAAAAAATTTACAAATGTAAATAATTTACAAGTTATAGTAATAGTACATGCCTCTATTGCGATTCGGTCGGTCGAATTCTGAGTTGTGAAATATTCATCCTCACACTGGGCTCCCACAGCTCTTTGATTTCCTAGTTCAATAAAATAGTGACGTGAATTTCTTTGCTTCCAGAAACGCAATTGACGATTGTGATATAACTACGCAGAACATCCGTATGAGTGTTTTCAAGGATCCTTCTTGCAATCTCAAGTAATAAAACTTCATAAGACTACAGTAATCTGTTCTTTTGTTGCAATTCTACGTCCCTGCACTTGGTATTATAAAAAAGAAATACATTTTTGCCTAAACAGTTGTTTATTTTGCAAATGATATTTTAAACTATAACGGACAAGGACGCGTCGACATTTCCCTCCAAATTACATTAAATAGAAATTAGTAAAGTTATCAAAAGCTAAATTTATCGTTAACTCAAAACCGACAGTAACCTGTAACTAATCGTAATTATAGAATGATAGCTGTTAAAACTCGCTAACTTGAAATTAAAAACTTACAATTTCGTCAAGTCAGTTTTAGACTCGGATGTCTCGTTTCCGCAAATTCCTTTACCTTTAAAAATCTAAAATGAGATGGGCCTAAAGAGGGTTAAAGAGGACGGAGGAATTAATTTATTCTTAATTTATTCCCGGTTCGGACCCAGTCCGTTCACGTGTGAAATTGAATGGGAATTCATTAGTGGGGAACTAATCTTGGAATTTCCAATTTTAAGGAAAAAGACGTCTTTGGACTGCAAAGATTTAAAAATGGATTTCCTTTTCCACGATCAATTTATATTGTTTTGGTTAATGTAAGTTACTTAAAGTTGAAATTTACGTATTACACAACAATCTATGTAACCACTTCATATACCTGATGGGAAAAAGGTATGAAGCTACAGCCTTCCACTAGCTATGATCCTGGCACACATATCTATCACCTTATCAATATGCTTTCATATACTTCTTATCTTACTTTAAAATGTCCACAATTTGGTCGTAATAAGTTTGGTAAGTCTGCTCTAACTTGCCCGCTCACACTCGCCTTGTAAATCTGCTTTATTAATCTTCAGATATAATAGGATGATAGTTACAAACTGCATTACCAGCAAATTTTAATATGTGATACGTTTTAGCGGCTTTTCAACATATATATTTACACTTTCACTGACATTTAAATTTATTTTGCTTTTACTGTTTCTAGCTATTTGCTATTTGGATGAACCTAGAAAGTTTCAATCAATTAACCTATAAAATTTTTGTGGTCAAATGACGAATGTTCGAACAAATTGACCTCGAGAATCCCAAACGGCATTTTAGTATGTTGAACCACAAGCTATAAAAATTCCACCTGTTTTATGGCGGCTTTATAATGCAAATGCAACCGATAGGAAATTGGCCAGACAAGAATGCTCAGATATAGTGTGAATCAGATAAAGGCGATGGCACGGTGTCAAACTGTCTTTGAATGTTTTGAGCAGTCTGACAGTTTAAACGACGCGTTAGAGTCTCTTCTTGCCATCGTATCTACGTTGTCAATATCAGCATGCAAGATAAGAAGGCCTCTGTCAAGATCCCGTTATTTAACTTCTAAGGTAAGCTATTAACAACGAAGCTAACCTGTCAAGCTTTACTGAAATCCTACGACTTGATAAGAATGTTTTGTGTGCTGATGACGAATTTCAACAAAGCCTTGCTTAAGAATTTGTCAGATCATTTGAATCAAAAGACCAGGAGAATAAATATTTGTAAGTCAAATTTTTCGTGGGCCAAGCCACAAATCTGATGCAGTGGTAAAAGCAAGCAGTGCTAAGTAAAAATCTACCTTATTTAAATCAACACTAATAAATAAATAATAAATATTAGACAACATCACATACGTCGCTCTGATTCCAAAGTAAGTAGCAATAGCACTTGTGTTATAGAAATCGGAAACAACGACGTTACCACAAACATATGAAAAGAAGAAAAGAAGCATCCAGTTTCGTAGCAAGATACAAAAAGAGAAAAAAGTAAGCCTTTTTTTTTTTTTTTTTTTAATCCACAGAGGGTCCACAGAGATGGCGACACCATGAAAACCGGTATGCAAGCGACTCGATCACGGAGGCCATCATACATATACTCTACTGTCACAGTTCATGATGGATTTACTTCCATTTTGTGTTCACAAATTACTAGATAGCTATGATACATTCAAAAGTATACAAAATTAACAAGCGTGTATGAAAAGGTTGATGTGAATGAAGGAAGCTAAAGTAGTGCATTAGGATAGTACTAGAGATGATTTTATAACTGCTCAAACGCCATAACAGTCAACCGCAAGTCTACCTGTACTAGCACGAGTTTCGAATGAAGAATGAGACGTGATTGAGTCAGCGTGTGCACCGCGGCATTTTGAGCGGTTCTGACGATTCAGATCTTTATTGACTTGTAGATCTACGACCCAGGTTTATACATCCGTTTATTATTTTCGTGTCAGAACAATTGTTTTTCTTCATGACAGCTAAATAAAAGGTTTTATATATACAAATTCTCGGCATTTTATCGATGACCTCGGTGGTTTCTTGAACTAGCAGTACATTGTTTACCGAGAATAGTTCCACATAATTTTTGTTACATAAATTGCGTATAGGTATATATGTATTTTATGACACTAAGTAAAGGGGCGAATAAGTCGTGCGCCTGGTGGACAGCGACACGCTTGTCCATAACAGTTGCAGTGCCACTTAGAGCTTTAAATCGGAAAGATCGGAGGGTCACTCGTACTGCGCCCGTCATTCTGAGACGTAAGTTGACGGTAGCCTATCACAAACTCAAAATTTTTTTTGTCCGAAATATTTGAATATATAGGTTATAAAAAAAAACTTAATTACATTAGCTAGCACCTTAACTATTATTAATATAACGTAACAACAAATTTATTTAATTAGCAGTGGCAGGCGTCCAGTGGCGATTGACGGGGCAACGCGCGGCGTGTCATTAAACTGGTCAATTTTTGAATTTCGTGACAAAAGTAAATTTAATAACTGTAATTGAAAACCAACATTTTGTAGGTTCGTAGGTTTGTAGGTTTCTCTGTAGTACTTAAAGAGAAATACCTCTATATAAAAATTATGTGCAGAGTGAAATATTTTATTCTTAAATATGTCGGAAATGAAACTAATTTTTGGTAGTATTATTGGATTTAACGTCGGTTTGTTTGAAGAAACAAATATACGCGATTTAAATCCGGAAAAATTGTTTCATTTCCTATGTGTAACAATCGCAAAAACCTACGAACTGAAATATGTCGTTTTAGACATTTCTATTAGCCTGTTTTCAGGATTTAGTATGACCGGGTAAAGTACATCTTATCTTGTAACAAATTTCTTTAGACACTATCCTTAGGTGTAACTTATATTTAGGAAATGAAACTATTTTTCCGGATTTAAATCCCGTATATTTGTTTTTTCAAACAAACTGACGTTTCGGGCCCTTTACAGGTCCCATGGTCACGGTTGACTGAGGTGGTACAGTCTTCAACCAGTTATGTCTAACATTGATGTTAACCACCCTATTTTTTTTCACTATAGTTACATGTCATGCGAGCATGTCATGGATAAACCTACACATTCAATGAAGTTTGACAAACCCCAGGTCCTTGCAAAAGAAGTCCGTTATCCACGCAGGATGCTGCGAGAGGCCATTGAAATTAAAAAACATCCTAATTTCAACAGGGAAGATGGTTTCTCAGTACCACCAGTTTGGGATCCAGTATTTCCTCTGATGAAAAATCCCAAACAGACATAAGACTGCAGTACTAATTAATATGTTTTAGTTTATTCTAATTTCTATTATTAATTAATAATAAATTGAACTTAATAAAAATTCATTCATTAAAATAATTTGTAAAAGTTAATGTAGCGTAAATTGGAATGTTTTCTTTGTAAAATTAAAAATAAGGTATTTAATTAATAACTATTGTAACTATAGTGAAAAAAATAGGGTGGTTTGCATCAATATTAGATATAACTGGTTGAAGAGTGTACCACCTCAGTCAACCGTAACCGTGAGACCTGTAAAGGGCACGAAACGTCGGTTTGTTTGAAAAAACAAATATACGCGATTTAAATCCGGAAAAATAGTTACATTTCCTATGTGTAACAATCGCGAAAACCTAAGAACTCGATATGTATCTTATATTTTTTGTAAGACCAAAATACCTAAACCATTTAATATAGCAAAACAGTTCTTCCTTTTGCTCCTCCATTGACTCGCTTTAGAGCAATTTTCAGTTCATTAAATTCATATTAATTTTCAAAGCAATTCACCAACCTCAATTCATCCAAGTATTTGAGTAAGGACCCTTTTTATGTGGCCATGGCTTCCTGAGACGTCACACTTGCAATACCGGTTTTTTTAAGCAAAACTAATAATGTAACTTCACCCTTTAAATGTATAAATGAAGTTAGTAACAAGGAAAATGTATGTCGATTTCTTTTTAGAGCAGTTACGCTAGACATTCCAACTTCTAATATTAAAAACTGCCCTAATTATTGCATAATTTTTTGATAATATTCTGTGATTTTTTTTAATATCAAGTGACGGGACGAACAAGTCGTGCGCCTGATGGTAAGCTACACGCCTGTCCAAAACAGTTGCAGTGCCACTCAGAGCTTAAATCGCAAAGATCTGAGGGGCACTACCACTGCGCCCGTCATCGTGAGATATAAGTTGACAAGTCTCATATGTTTGTAATTTCACCAGCACCCTTAACACCCTTCAAAACCAACCAAAAGAACACAGTAATGCTGACATTACTGCTTGGCGGCAAATTAAGTAAGGTAGTACTTTAGTGGACTAACTCTCTAACAAGAAAGTCTGCTTCAACTAAACTAGTAGTTTTAAAAGCACTTATATGAATAAAGAAGAAACAATAAAACAGTGTGTTGTTATCGCACGTTCTGCTTTTATAGACTCTTTAAAATAGTTATTTTTGGTATAAGTGCGGAAAGTTAGTCATTATTCACGAGTCTCGAGGCTTCTTGGCCCGAGCCAGAGGCGAGGGTCAAGACGCGAGACAAGTGAAAATGACAAATCCGCACGTGTATCAAACGACGTTTTTTAATACATTTGCGAAAAAACTACATTGAAAGTAAAATAAAACAGTACCTACCTATTTAAACAAAACTCATTTTCTGCTAGTAAATTGAAATAATGATATACAACCACTGCAACCATTAGTTGAAAATCTATGGAAATCTAGTTCTTACGTGCTGTTTTTGTTTATTTTCTGTAATATCGGTCTGTAAC